AAATGCATTTGTCAAAGTATTTTATAGAACTAAGAGGTCAATTTATTTTGAGGGAATGTCCTCTGTTTCAAATTATCAATGGGGCAAAATAGCTGTCCTTTGTGAGGACACTGGCACAGAGTATACTGTAGAGTGATATACAGTAAATGATGTTAAAGTAAACCATATCATGGGAAACTGACAGCATATTATCAAAAATATGACGTAATCCTTTGTTTGAAGTGTTGGCTCCTTTCCATCGAAAACAGCTAAACAGGTCACTTCTTTGAGGCTCAGTGGAAAAGCACTTGCCTAGCATGCACAAGGATTTCATCTCTACTATCACCACAAAAAGAAAAAAAAAGTTACTTCTTTGCACATAAAGTGCGTCCAACCTCTGGCTTATACATATGTAAGGGGCACTGATATAAGTAGATTAACCAACATGTCTGCCATACTGGACAAGTGTCTAGAATCTTTTCTTCAGAGAATCTGCCTGTTCTTTGGAATGACTGAAGAGACTTCAGTTTCTTTATCTGTAAAATGGTGGGTTTTAGTCAGCTTTTCCATTGCTGTGGCCAAAAGATACAAAAGAATGACACAAAGGAGGAAAAGTTTATTTGGGGCTCCCGGTTTCAGAGGTCTCAGACCATAGATGGTTGATTCTGGTGCCTTGGGTCTGGGGTGAACATCATGGCGGAAGAGTGTAGAGGAGGAAAGCAGCTCAGGACATGGCAACAAGGAAGAACAGAGAGGGCTGTACTCATAGGAGACCAAATAAACTGCCCTAAAGGCACCTCCTCAGAGACCTACTCCTCCAGCCACACCCTACCTGTGTTCTATTACCACCCAGCTACTCCATCCAGGTGGAGCAATGTACCCATTAGGTTAAGGTCTCATAATCCAACATTTCACCTTTAAATTTTCTTGCATTGTCTCACACTTGAGCTTTTGGGGGACATCCCATTGTGATCATTAATAATTGCTGATCATTGATTATGGCCATCAGGATACTAACATCAGAAGGTCTTAGAGTTAAATGACATACTGTGTATAAAGTGCCTAGCAAAATGCTTGGCATTCAGTAAACACTGAAGTGACTTATCACTTGATCATTATTTTTATTTTTGTCATAATCTTAATCTGCAAATGATGGAGCTTAGATCCATGGTGGGGTGGTGGGGGAGAGAATAATACTGTGAAGTACTGAGTGAGACAATTTCACAGTGAAGCTATGGGAAAAGCAACACATATTTGTGCATTACAAGACTTTTTTTTTTTTTTTTTTTTGATACTGGGATTGAACCCAGGGGCTAACCACTGAGCCACATCTCCAATCCTTTAAAGTCAGACACCATAAGCCATGCAAGAGAACTTTCTTGTTAAGTGAAAGTGAGGTGAAAAAAAGGAAAAGAAGAGTGAGGTTTAAGGAGAGAGGGAGGGAG